CCCATTGCAAGTCAAGGAACATCTGTACTAGGGGTGAGCACCCTACTCTGAAAATTCTAAGTCCAAAATGCTCCAAAAACTGAACCTTTCTGAGTACAGGCATGATGCCATAAGTGGAAAATTCCACACCTGACCTCATGTGACAGATCACAGTGAAAACACAGCCAAAACTTTGTTTCATTCACACAATTATTTTAAAATGTTATAAAAAATTACCTTCAGGCTTTGTGTATAAAGTGTATATGAAACATAAATGAATTCCATGTTTAAACTTGGATCCTGTCCCCAAGATACTTCATTACATATGTTCAAATAGGACAAATATTCCAAAGTCTGAAAACATTCAAAATCCAAAACCCTTCTGGTTCCAATCATTTTGGATAAGGGACACTAAACATCTCCTACCAGAGAAATAAAATTCTTTTTAACTATGACAGAAAGGGAGAGATTGAATTACCAGACTTGCACTTAACAGGTATTTCTGAATCTGCTCAAGCTTGTCTGCTTTCTTTTTGGTTATATCTTTTACCTCGGAATTTTCTATTTCAAACCTAAAATACATGTGTTAAAATAATTATCATCAGAGACAAATTTTAAAAATACCATGTAATTTCTGAACAAATATCTGCAAGTATAATTATATAAATTCTCAAAGATTTAAAAGTAGATGACTTGGCAACTGTACCATTTTTGTAGCTGTGTTTTGTGGATAATGTGTAAAATTTCGGGAAAATTCACAAAAGTTATGCATTTCAAAATAGCTTAAAGCGGAAATTTTTCCTTGGCTTCAAACAGATGCACTTATTATCATCACTGATACAATTCTCATTCCACACTGCTTATTTGTTTTAAAAATACTCAAGTTATTTTGTATGCTGCTTTAAATTGTACCTTTGCATGTGGTCTTCCATTATCTCAGCATGTTGCACAGCCTCTCTGAGTTGAGCCTGTACTTCCTGCAACTAAAACAAACAAGAAAAACAACTTTACTAATAATCTATTACAAATCTACCCATTATCTGTTTTCATAACTCAATTTTATTGGAAAACAGCCATATTCCTTCAATCCACATGTCATCTACAGCTACTTTTGTGGTGTAACTGCATGGTTGCCTTGTTGCAACAGGGATCTTATGGCTCACAAAGCCTAAAGGATGATTTGGCACTTTACAGAAAAGTTTACTGAGCCCTGCTCTTGACTCAAACACAACATTATTCTTGTTTTTAAAGTATATTTTGTCAGATAAATCCTCAAATTTTAAAAAATTGTTAAGATGGGGAAAGATAGGAAATTACCTATGGTAAGCATTTATATTTTTATATTCCAAACATCACCAGGACAATTGTTATTTTATTTCATTTTTTGTGTTTTCACATTTAGTTTTATTGTAACAAAGCAACTTATACACTCTCAATGTTTAAAACTGAGCATCATCTTTCCTTTCCAGTAAAACAAAGAAAATTTAAAAATAAACAGGAACAAAATTACAATAGAGGACGTTAATTCCAAATAAAATCCTACAGATTCTGCTGATTCTCCCACCGAGTGGCAGGGCTCAAGTCATCATTAGGACAGAAATTATTTTAAAGGTCATGTCAAAGCACAAGAATCTTTCTTAAACGTCACTTAAACGTCAATTAAACATACCAAAGTAGAAGCCATGTTGTCAAAATGTCCACTAACCAAACATCTCAAAAACCCACCTCTGTGGACATTCTGTAATCTCATTTTTTTTTTTTTTGACACAGAGTCTCACTCTGTAGCCCGGGCTAGAGTGCCGTGGCGTCAGCCTAGCTCACAGCAACCTCAAACTCCTGGGCTCAAGTGATCCTCCTGCCTCAGCCTCCCAAGTAGCTGGGACTACAGGCATGTGCCACCACGCCCGGCTAATTTTTTCTATATATATTTTTAGTCGTCCAGATAATTTCTTTCTATTTTTTAGTAGAAACGGCGGGGGTGGGGGGTCTCTCTCTTGCTCAGGCTGGTCTCGAACTCCTAACCTTGAGCGATCCACCCACCTCGGCCTCCCAGAGTGCTAGGATTACAGGTGTGAGCCAGCACGCCCAGCCCTCATTTTTAAATTTTTTAATTCTCTTTTTAAACAAGAGATAGTAGACAAATTGGTAAATGCCAACTCTCCATATTCACACTGTACTCTCTGACCTCAATATGCAGAGAAAGGAGGAAATAAGCTAGAATTCCATGCACTACCACAGAGGGCCCAGCCCCACCAGCTTCCAGCAGAGCAATGGGAGCAAATTTTTCTTTTTTCCCCACAGAGCTTGGTGGTATAGATTGCATCCAGTTTTTGTTGAGAAAGGAAGGGATAAAATGATTTCAGAACAGAAAGTGGTAGAGATTCTTGTCCCACTGTAATGCTGCTCAAGGCATTTCCCCCTAAAGTAAGTTGAGAATGAAGGTGTAGAAACAAGAGACCTCAAGAACAGGGTTCCTGAGCACAAGAGGAAAAAAAAAAAAAAGACATGAACTTTCCCCCAAGGACTGGAGAACATTTTAGAAAGGAAGGTTAGAATCCATCAGTGCCTATCAGTCATCTCCTTCATCCTCCTCTCCTTCCTCCCCTCATCCTCATCTTCTTCACTGTCATCCCTATCCCCTTCGCATCAATATATTCCACTCCTCCTCCTTCTTTATCATCTTCTTCTCCTTCCCTTTCTTCACCATCCATATCAAGAACCAAGTAGTCTAGTAATGGATTTGGTCAAATGTCCCCTTTGCTGACCTCTCCTAAGTCACCTGCATTCACGGCACAATGGTCAGTAACCAGGTACAGAAGCTCTCTGCTTCCTCACACTGCCTCTTTCTGCTGACTTCATTCTGCCTTTGACTTGAATGTTTCTTTTCAAGTGTTTTCCAGATTTCTATTTGATTTCAGTGCACTTTGAAGATGGATCTCTGCCCTCATTCAGGTGAAATTCTTTGGGGAGAACTTCATTTTAAAAGCAAGGATTTTCATAAAGATAAAAATCTATTCTGTGACCTCATTTAGTATTTTCAAATTCTGTCACTTCAACTCTGACGCCTCTTCATCCTCCTCACGCAGTACACACACGTGTGGATGGCTGCAAAGGTTCTTAAGCCACAATTTAGCATGTAGGTGATCAGTTCTGACCTCTTCTGAAAAAATGGTTGGCAGAGTTCATTACGTTTATGTTCTCCTTTAAAAATCTCCTCCCTGGCTTGTTCACTAAGTCTGTCTATGATTTTGCACCTCATCAGTATGTTCGATTTCTTCTTGCTGATCTTCTGAGGTCTTGTCGGCTTGTCCCCAATGTGGTTGAAGTCCAGAGCCTTTTTGCTGACTTTGGCCTCCTGTGCCCACGTGGTGCTGCTCCATGGTGAGGGGGAGTGGGCCAGGGAGAGAAGGGAAGGTGAAGGGGGCAGCAGACTGCTTCCCCTCGGGCCACACGATGGGCACGAGCTCAGTCCAGCCACCTCCTCCTCTACCTCCTCCTCATGTTGAGGTGCCTCAACTCTCATTCGAAATAGTTATAGATGTGAATGGTCACAGCTATGCCACAGATTATAAAAATTAACATGATGCTTGAGGTGACAACCAGAGGTTTCAAAAAACAGTTTGAGAGGCAGTATCTACACCAAGCCAGAAAGGCTGGGTCTCAATCGCAGCTCCACGAGATATTAGCTATGAGACTTTCAGCAAATTAACTCTCAGTGTTTCTAAAATGGAGGAAATAATACTGTTCACTTCTCTGGGATGTTCGGAAGATTAAATCGGAAACTATTGGTAAAGTACTCAGAAGAGTCTGTGGCACATAGTGAGCCATACATAATATTGGATATTAGATTACTATTTTCATTGTATTTTATGTTTTAATAAAGTTTTCTATTTTAGGCAGATGGCATGCCAGTGGAGGTGGTCTCCCTCAGCTGCCCTGAATCATTCTTCACACCACAGAAAGTGACAGCCAGTGGGGAGCATGAGGCCCAGAACACACCCCCGGGGCTTCACAGAAGTCACCAATTCCACCAGTCAGCAGGGCTTTTGTCCATGTGTAAGAATTTAAGACTTCCTTTCTCTCTGTACTACTCAGTGGGCAATGATCACGTGCTACAATGCACCTAGTGCCTCAGGGGTGGAGGAGCACACAACGTACATGACCATCAGAGGCAGGCTAAAGCCACAGGCCTGAAAATATTGGACTTTATTGCTAAATCAAGTTCCTGAATTGATTCATTCCCAGCAGCTGTTTGGGTTGGGTGGTGTTAGCAAGCACTGTGAGGAGCAGATGAAGGTGATGTGGTCGGGCACATCAGAAAAGCCACAGCCAGAACTGTTAATTTGGGAAAGTATTATCAATCTATACATCCCAGTTCTGGCTACATAAGGAAGGTAGGCAAATTTAGATTTTTTTTTCAAAGTGAGGCAAGCAAGAGCATTTGATTGAACAATTCTCCTCTGTTGGATTAATTGGTTTCCATTTTATATTTACTTATAATACATTTAGAATAAAAGCTTTATTACATCATCTCAAAGAAGAAATTATTGGTATGGTACGAAGTATTTAATTTTATCCTAACAACGGTTAAGTTAAAATATTTTTAATTTATACAAGGATAGGGAGTATGCATATCAGATATTATTTTGCCCTTAGACAAATTTATAATTAGACAAGATTATCTCTCATAAAAAAAATCAAAGCAATGTAAAATTAAGGGATAAGTTGCTCTGCACAGACTAGATAACAAATACTGACCATAAGGTCAAAAAGAGTCAGGTGCGTAGGGAAGGCTTTCATTTTAGAAGCCAGAACCTGCTACCTTCGACTGCCCGAGAGCCCAGGGAGGGCGGGAAAGCCTAGGCCAGGACCCGGCAGCCATTGGCTGCCTTGCCTCTGCGTTCTCGCTCAGAATGCCGCAGGGTGCGCGCGCACAGCTCCGGTCAGGCGCAGGCGCAGAGAGGGAGTAGGGTCACCGCGCCGCCGTTGCTCAGGTAGGAGGGCCTGATTGGGTCCTAGGGATGTCGCGGCTCCTCTGCTTGTGTTTGCTGTGGCTCGGGCTCCTGAGGGTTCGGTTCTCCAGTGAGCTGAGCGACGTCAGTATAGCCAGGAGGCTGTGCGGCAGGCACTTGGTGAAAGAAATAGTAAAACTCTGTGGCCATGCTGACTGGAGCCAGTTCCAGTTGGAGGAGGAAACCCCTTTCGCACAGCTGGTTTCTGAGCCCTCGGAGAAGGTTGAAGCCTATATCCCTGACCAGTTCGAAAGCCCCCAAACCCATTTCCCGAGTTGGGGGAGAGGCACAAATCCAGGTAAAAATTTAAACCAAAGGCAAGTTTGTTCATCTCTGTAGATTTCTTAACCTAGAATTTGCTCTGCTAGAAGGTGAGCTTCCCCAGGAAATGGAATTTGTGCCTAGTACACAGGTAAATAAAAATCTGTCAGACCTCTGGGAAGCCTTTTTTTTTTTTTTTGAGACAGACTCTCACTCTGTCACCTGGACTAGACTGCCGTGGCGTCAGCCTAGCTCACAACAACCTCAAACTCCTGGGCTCAAGCGATCCTCCCGCCTCAGCCTCCCGAGTAGCTGGGACTACAGGCATGCGCCACCATGCCCGGCTAATTTTTTCTATATATTTTTAGTTGTCCGATTAATTTCTTTCTATTTTTAGGAGAGACGGGGGTCTCGCTCTTGCTCAGGCTGGTCTCGAACTCCTGAGCTCAAACAATCTGCCCACCTCGGCCTCCTAGAGTGCTAGGATTACAGGCGTGAGCCACCACGCCCAGCCAAGATTCTACATTTTTAACAAGCCAGCAAGCTTTCAGGTGATGGTGATGCTACTAGTTGGTGGTCCATACTTCTGAGGAACAAAGTCTAGTTCACTTTCTTTCTCCTCTTCCTTATTTTCTCTCAAAAGTGCAAGGAGAGCCTTCCTTTTCTACTTCATGTTGGGCAGGCATTTCTCTCACATCAAATACTGTACTCTCACCGCCTATACTGTACTATAGTCAAATTTTTATCTTCAGGCCTCCAAGCTTGAGGTTGTTATTTAAAGAGAGTTTGGAAATCCCTTTTTCAACAAATTCTGCTCTGAAGACAATTTTCTTAATAAAAAAGTTAAACTTTAAAACTTAGAGCTGATTAATGACCCTTTTGTTTTAGGTATTATTCGCATTCCCCTGGAGGAGTAAATGTCATTAATTCAATGAAAGGGGAGCTGCAATGAAACAAGACTTGTAGGAAATAAAAACACATGACAATATTTCAAAATTGTCATACCCATTAAACCTGTTACTATGGGAACTATGTAATGGACAATTTGCTGAAGTGGAAGTATCATGTGGCAATAAAACCACAATTGTTTTGAAATATGTGAAAGAAGGAAAAATGGGTCTATGTTATCAATATGACATCCTAAAATTTAAAAAATTATTAATCTGTAAGAAAAGATGGCATTCTGTCCTGTTAATTTCTAGTCAATAATTTAGAAATTGCAAAGAGGTATGTGTTTCTAATATAACATGTATAATTTTGCCATTCCTTTTATATATGAAAGTGGCTGAAAATTGGATTAATTTTTATTTAGCTTTTACTAGCAGGACACATTGCTGTGTTATATCAGGTCAATTATCCAAAATTTTAATATTCTGATCTATTTGAGTCTGACACAGGGAAAGATAGTTTGGTATACTGATATTTAAAAATGCTTTTTTTTTTTTTTAGAGCTACTCATACATAACTTGAATCTGAAATTATGTGCTTATTAGTGGATCCTGAAGGTGTGGGCCATATGTTCAAGACATATCCCAGAATGTGGTACAATGAAGTCGATTGACATCATATTTCTAAATTCTGGCTCAGTATGATGCTTCCTAGCTCTTAGAGCTAGGTGAAGTCATTAAAGTTTTAACATCAGCTTTTCATTATCCATAACCCCTATTCCAGTTAGATTGACCATATTCCCCTATCCTTGGTCTTTATTCACCAATTCTTGGTTTTTTAAATTTATTTTTCATTTATTACAGTCTACAAAGGGCTCTTTTCTTTTATGTTCATTTAACAAAATTTAAGTACCTATTATGTGCTAGGCATTCTTCTCGGTGCTTGGGATTTGGGAGTAAATAGTGAAGGCTCCTGCCCTCATGAAGCTTACAGAGTAGTGAAGATAGATAATAAACCTAAGTAAATTATACTGTATATTAGAAGATGATTGTCTTCACCTATCGCCTTTCTCCACTCCCATTCTCCTCCTCTCATAGGCAGCCATTCCAATCTGTTCATTATGTATTTTTGTTTGTGTAAGTTTTTTCAAATTATGCATTGTTTCCTGTGCATGTATTTTTTAAAATATATCTAAATGGCATTTAAGATCTGTATCTTATTGTTGCCATGTGAACATTTAGTTCCTTGCTTCTAATATTAATATATACATAGTACTCAATGTGCATTCCTCACATTTTACTTATTTATTCAGTGATGAACACCTAATACAGCCTTGAAGTTCTTGGCACTATAAATAACACTAAAGTGAGTATGATATGTGTCCCCTTATAGACCTGTGTGGCAATTTCTCTGGGATATATACCTGGGATGGAATTGCTGTGTCATGAAGTATGTGTATGCTTAATTTGCTTGAGGTGTGTCAGATTGCTCTCTAGAATGCCTCCAATTTATATTTGTACAACCTGCCCTATGTCCTCATATCCATGCCATCAATTATCATTATACAGTTTTTTTTTTTTTTTTTTTTTTTT